GTCAATACATATATCTTATTAACCAAGCGCGAGGGCCGTACTGGGAGAATATCGGCCCGAGGTCTTGACAGTACGGACCGAGCGCAGCGAGGTCCGTACAAAAAAGACCGAGGGCCGATATTCTTCCAGTACGGTCCCGAGCAAGCTTGGTTAATAAGAGATTTATTACACGACTGAAGTTCAAAGGGACACAAGTGCGGTATCATTCGGGACCATTTGGGACAGTGCCCGGTCCAATACTGAGAGAATATTGACCGGCAATAGAGCATTTCGATTGTTTGATTTTAGTTATTGGCCCTCTGACTGCCCGAGTCGTGTAATAAGAAATCGTTATTGCTCTTCTGTACTTTTGATCTTGAATTCCTTTTCGACGCCTAAAAAAAGCACAAGAAACTGAGAAAAGTAATCCGTTGGTGGAAGATGTGATGGCCTACCGTTGTTAGATCAAGCAAAATCCATTTTTTTTTTTTTTCCATTTTCTATCTGTGTGCTAAAGGATGTTCAGAAATCGGGAGAGGTAATTGCTAAAGGATGTTCAGAAATTGTTAGAGGCGATAACTGATTGGAGTGCTGGGGTGAACTTCAATGTTCAAGTGGAGTGTCAAGAATTGTGCAGGGATGCTTTGCTCACCTTTTGGTGAAAACTAAAATTCACTGGGGATACCAGTGATTCATAATTGAACTGTTATTTCTTTAAGTAGGACCAAAGAAGTGTACCCAAGGTTTAAGTAAGACCAATTTTCATTTCATTTTTACCTACGTATAATTTCAGGATGCACATCATGTTTGTCAAATTTTTCCACGCTCCTAGAGGAGTGACCTGGACTTGTCAAGCTAATTTTTGCGCACATGGTAAGTGTCCAATTATACAGTCACACATTGTTAAACTTGATCACAGGCAGCCCAAGCTCACTACGAGAAAAGCGGACGTGACTCTTACCGTGTTGCGTAACGTTTTATATTTATAAAGGTTTGTATGGGATGTTATCGGTTTGGTGTTCAACTGCTGTTGAACACCAACATAGCGCTAACTCGCCGAAAACGCTTCAATATGGCCTGAGACGCTCGGAATCAACAAAGAAAACAACAAGGCAATAAGGTGAGCCCATTTTATTTCAAAACAAGACATTTTTTTCTCTCTTTTAAGGCAAACCGATAACATCCCATACAAACCTTTAGAAATATAAAACGTTACGCAACACGGTAAGAGTCACGTCCGCTTTTCTCGTAGTGAGCTTGGGCTGCCTGTGACTTGATTTAACACTGAGAAACTTCAAAAGTTTTCTGAGTCAAGAGGTCAGGGCTTCCTCTATAGAGGGCTACGAATTAGGCTCCGTAATTGTGCTTTTATACATCAATTTCTGCATAACACTTACAAAGTCCCATAGGAAAACCGATATTGTAAAGGGCCTTTACATACAGTCAATTTTGAAATATCTCTTGACTATTTGTACTGTCACTAGTCGCTATAGTCCATGAAAGATATTTTCTATATGTTATAGACTTCAACCAAGAGACGATTTTAAAAGCAAATTTATTCTACGTTCAGTTAATGAAACGCATTTGATCGAAACACGTGGTGGTGACGATTAGGATGGTGATGGTTCGACTGAAAGGGAAAGTTACAATAACAAGAATATATCGAGGAAAAATTGACAAATTGAACGAGTAGACTAAAACCACTGAGGGTCTAGACTGAAACCCGATGTATGCACTGAAAAAACGAGAACCAAGAAATTTTGTGAAAGGAATCACATGAAGATCGACGAGTTAAATTTTAAATCAAGTGTAACGCAAGTAGGGGAAAAGTCACGCACGTTTAAATCTTACATTTGCCATTTGAGTGACTTAGCGATTCCTTCCTTGGTGGGGAAGGGCTGGTAATCGGAACGATTGTTTATTCTCATGCACGTTTAAAGTGCTACTGAAACGAAATTTTCGTATCTGAAATTTTTGCTCTAACCTGTAGTTTTGAATATGCTGATCATCATGAGATAAATTGCTTTGGCCAAAAAGAGGCGAAAGATATCTTTTTTAACCGTTCAAATAAAAAATTTTGCACAAAACCATGTCCGGCTCTGGTACCGAGTGAAATGGATTGATGACGTCACTGGTTGTGTTCACTCCG